GCGGGAGGTGGTGGGGCTGATGGGGGTGGGGGGGGGGATTGGGGAGAGGGTGTATTAAAGGGGTTTGCTGGGGGAAGGATGCATTAATGGGGTGCACTGGAGGAAGAGTGTATTAAAGGGGTTCATTGGAGGGAGGGTGCGTTAAGGGGGTTCATTGGAGAGCGGGTGCGTTAAGGGGGTGCACTGGAAAGAAGATGCATTAAAGGGGCTCATTGGGGGAAGGGAGCGTTATCGGGGTGCGTTAGACTGCATTAAAGGGGGACACTGCATTAATGGGGCGCATTAGTGGCATAAGTTGGGAAGAGGGTGCATTAAAGGGGTTTGTTGGGGGAAGAGGGTGCATTAAAGGGGTTCGTCGGGGGGAGGGTGCGTTAGCAGGGTGCACTGGAAAGAGGGTGCATTAAGGGGGGCATCAGTGGGTGCATAGGGGGGTGCATTGGCAGCGGGTGCACCCAACCGGGGGGTGCCCAACCCCTCCGAGATGGGTGCCATCGCCCAGTGCCAGGCACCGTGGGGGTGTCCACGGGGTTCAGGGACAGACGGATGGATGGCGGCAGCTCCACAACCGCCTGGAGGGTTTGACCCTGTCTGTCCGTCCATCCCCTCCAGTTCCTCTCATTCCCAGCGCCCGGGGCAGGATGTCCTTTCCTGGGCTGTCCCACGCACCCCGACACCCCTGCTCCCCCCTCCGCCTCCAACCTCTCCTTTTCTCTCCTCCCTTAATAATCAAATTCTCCGGAGCAGTTTGCGGTGTGGCAGCCGGCCAGAAAGGGTTTCTTTAAACTCCACCAGCTCACAATTAAACAAATCTGGGGCTGACGCTCCGTGATAGGCGCTTACTCCTCCCCTCCGGCTCCCCACCGAGAGCCACCAAGGGGTGCCAGGTGGGGGTGTCCATCCCTTCGCACTCCCCTACCCCACATGCCGCCTCGCTGCACCCCTTGAGGGTGGGGGGTGCAGGGCTTTTGGGGTGGGGAGCGGGGTTCCGCGGTGCCAGCGCTGCTCCGCTGGCGAAGCATCCCCCCTGCAAGAGCGTGCGGCTATTTTTAGTCGCCGAGTCCTTGTTGATGGCGCAGCAGCGAAGGCGAAGAGGGAGCAGCCGGAGGAGCAGCAGCGCTCGGGGCGCTGGATCAGGCCCCGCAGGATGAGCAGCAGCTGGGAAGCGAGACCGGGGTGCGGGGGGTCGGGAGAAGCCCGCTGTCCCCGGGGCCGAGGCACTGGGGGTCTTGGGTGCTTACCAAGGGTCCCCTGCCACGGAAAGTCCTGGGCTGCCTTCAAGAGGGTTCCGATCCGTCCCTGCCGTGTCCCTGCCCGCCAA